GGAAGCACCAAGGAATCGCCAATAAAAAAATAAGTGGAATCTGTCCTCGACCTTTTCGGCGCTGCAGTCGCTGAGCCGCCCTCGCCGCTGCAGGGATGGGCTGATGGCTGGGCTGCAAGGCGTCTTCTGCAAGACCTCGGCAGAGCTTTTTTGGGGGTCATTTTTTCAGCCTTTGTTTCATCGGCTCACCCTTCTCTCTCTCTCTCTGCAGTGTGTATGTATATCTATATACCTACCTACCTACCTACCTATATATATATATATATATATATATATATATATATAATATATATATATATATATATATATATATATATACACATATACATATGTACACGCACACACACCGACACCTACACACACACACGACACCGACACCGACACACACACACACACACACACACACACACACACACACACACACACACACACACACACACACACACACACACACACACACACACGCACGCACACACACACACATACAACACACACACACACACACACACACACACACACACACACACACACACACACACACACACACACACACACACACACACACACACACGCACGCACACACACACACACAACACACACACACACACACACACACATATATATATATGTGTGTGTGTGTGTGTGTGTACATACACATACTGTACTCTCCATGTATGTGCATGTGTTTATTTGATTACTTGTTTGTTTGTGTTTATTGTCTGTTTACGTGTGTGCGTTTGTATAAATGTATGTAATTTTCATCTACACAGTACACAGATGTTTATCTGCTTATCTGCAAGTTTTTATCTCTCGAACGAAAATGGATAATGACCTTTACCTTTTTGTAGAGGGTCGGACCTCTCCCTGGGACTGACGAATAAAAAGTGAATATACCATACTTTATAACTATAGGTTTCATTCCTTATTTCAAAGGCAAAACTAGCTTGAATGAGATATCAAGAGCCGATCTACCACTACCGCCTTTTTAGCAAGAATTCGCCATCAAGATTATATATAATAAGCATCATATCCCCCAGAAGCTGAGTATACTGGGTAAAAAACAGCATTGTTCTGCACACTATACCTTTGACCAGTACACTAACAGCTAGGAGACTCAGCAATTAATCATAAGACGGTAGATTCTATTGCCATGATAAATGATGTTTCTCTTTAAATTACTTTATTTGTCATTAAATATTCCTCTTGACCTTTCATATAATCTCGTATTGATTATTACTGATTGCAGAATAAAAAAATTCTGTTTTTCAAGGACTTCTTTTTGGTAATTACTATAACACCTTTAAAATGTCAAGCGTCATTTAAAGCACAGGGTTATAGTATAAAAAGGGATGTAAGACACAGAGGTGTTGCTAGGCATTTGAGGGTCCTGGAGGGTACTTCCATGAGGGAACTCTGATGCTTTTCATGTTTGAGGAAAAAATACTTACATGGCAAAATAATAACAATAATAATAATGATAATAGTAACTATAACAATAATAATAATAATAATAATAATAGTAATAACTACAAAAAATAATAATGATAAAAAAGTCATGATAATGATAATAAAAACTACCATGAATTTGATTTTCTTCTTTTCACCCTACAAAAATATTTGAAATTCAGTAGAATCATCAGGTGTCCCTCTACAGGAGCCCCAGGGAAAGGTAAACTCCCCCCCCCTCTCCCTCCCCACCTCCTTCTTAAGCTACACCTCTTTGTATATATTCATTTCCTTTGCCAATCCACATATTTTCCTTTTTAATTACTTGTTCTTTGACTGCAATGACGAATAAGCATGTAGGTTTCAACTAAAAAATCTCACGTTTTTAGTTGCAAACATTTAAACACTAATAGATTATATATATTGCTGGCAGACTGTTGAAATTACCTGTGATTTTTCTCTTATTTTCTATTGTATATGACCTTTTCAACTTTTACATGTTGACTATAAAGCTACAAAATACAAGAGTGACATTTTAGGGAATTAAATTTTATATTGTGGACTTTGTGACTGGCATAGTTCTAGTTGTTAAAATAAAAACCAATTTGCATGAAGAAAATAACTACAAAATAAGACCCACAACTACATCAAAAATACAACTTTTAGTCTTTATTAGTATAAAATATTCATGTTACAGCAATATAACTGATCTGAGCTCACTCCAGACAAATATTGAGAATACATACATCATGTGAAGTCATTTTTATTTAAACTCTTTCTATATCTAACTGGTTTTCACATCTTAATAGAAGTTACTGTACTGATGCTTATATATCATTACATATTTATTTGATCGCATACGCTATTACAATGACTTTATATGCTTATGACTGCTTATTTTTTTAAATTCTTTTTTTTCTATTCTTTATTTCTCATTAATAAAACAACTCATAGACTCTAGCAAGGATTTATTTTATTGAATATCAAATATTAAAATCATACTTCTATTACTTTTTATTACTTTTATATTCTGAAAACAATGAACAACATTTCAACCATAACAAGAATAGACTTGAAATAACATTGTCATGATGAAACTAGAAACATTTTTATTGTCAGATTTCATAACAAACCAATTAAAGCTTAAATTACATTCACACTATGTTCCTTTGGGTGAATAAGATGTACTGACAATGAACAGAGTGACTTTTACACAAGACAGTCTCTACAATTTTCACAATATGAATTTGAATATGACAAATTATAAAAATGAAGCACAATTGTTTTCTTCTTCTTAAAATATATATATATTCATGTAGTCCGTGACACAGAGCTTAAAGCATAGTAAGAACTGAATTTTATACCCTTGCTCCCTATGGGTGAAAAATATTGCATACAAACTGAATATAAATACAATATGTCAATATGTTAATAAATAGTAATAAAACATAAATGCTAACATAATTATGATAATGAGGATGACTTTAAGAATAAAAAAAGATGAATGAATATAATACAGCAATTGCGATTACAGTACTATATGACTAATGAATTATCTATATAAGCGGATATTGTAATGGATATAGATGGTGGGTGAAAGACATTCCAAACTGCGAACAAGGAACTAACGCTGCTCGGTTACTTGTCGGCATTACTCTGGTCCTTTACAAATGCCGTGAGAGTATCGTAGAGGGCTGTTGCCATTTTGTGCTCCTGTGCATCTTCTGGCAACAGACTGAGAGCGTGTGTTAATAACGTCACTGTACTTTCTAGGGGAGCGGCTGGGCAACGAAGACTTCCGGCATCCTGATGAGAAAATAGAAAACAAGGAAATAGAGAACAAAGCAATTGGCAAAAAACACAAACACACACACCAACAACACACACACAACACACACACAAACACACACACACACACACACACACCACACACCAGATATATAACACATTAATGACCTATTACCCTCTAATCAACTGAGGTTTACACAACAATTCACAATTTACTTCCACTGCTTTATTTCATTACAAAAGGTAACTTACCGAGGGACAAGGATCATCATGACCCTTAATACCTTCCCAATCGAACCAAATAACACAATGACCCTTTATACTTAGCTGATACTCACACAGACTTAATCCATTCTGTAATAGTAGGGGAGGTTAGAGCCAGATGGTGTGCGGTCCTCGGAGAGTTTTCCAGCTGGTAGTTCAGCCTCTGCCCGGCAATAAGGACCAGCTGCGACCCCAACAACGTAGCATCACTAATGGTTGGCAGCTCCTAAAAAACAAACCAATAAGACATTAAGCAAGAGCAAGTTAACAAGATACTTAAAGTTGAATTGCTCCTCATACCATCCATGCACAACAAAAATACCTCTTGATCCTAATGTAACTAAATGAAAAGGAAATTTTGGTCAATATTGGAAGAAAAGACATTAAAAATCATGCATACAGACAAATACGTAGAGTGACACATTTCACAGGTGTTTTAGACAATACTATCAAAAGTATTTATATTCAATATATAAAAAACAAAAAATCCTATAAAGTTAAGAAAACAATAAACTACACCTCTTCTGCCAATTTATCAAGCCCAGAAGTGTACAGTTCGCATATATGATGACGGTGTAACACATCTAGTGAAGTTCCCCATGCTCTACCCAGGTCTATTGCCTGGCGAATACTCAGTGAATCTCCCTGAAAAAAAGAAGGAAATTTGCATAAAACATCATGAGTATAAAATCTAATACATGTGAACATTTATTAAAGGAAAATCTTTCCTAAATCACTGAAGAGTTCTATTTAATCACAAACATCTACATAATAATGCATGCTAACTACTAATTTGTAATATACCTGGTTATATTCTGTAGTGTCTGGAAGTGAGGAAACTGCGGCTGTGATTACTCTGCATAAGAGAGCTAAGCGAGCCTTTATAACAGTTGGGTCTGTGTGGCCTCCGATAGTCCAACTGGTTGTCAGAGGCTTGAACAAGACGCTACGGTCCTATGTGCAAAAACAAGGAAAATGTAAACACCAAAAAGTTAAAATGAGTTTTTGAAACAACATAGAGAAAAAGGCAATTCAATACTTTTTATCAGTCTTACTGTTAAGTCTGTCAATGTGTGTTACAAAATATCATGCAGTAAGAAAGGAAATTTTACATAATGAATTTCAATAGGCATCAATAACTAAAAACATAATATGATACCACAAATTTTATCATTATAATATGTAGTTGGCGAAAAGTCAACCTCCAACACAAAATTTACCATGAAAATGAGTAAGTGGTAAAAGAAAATCCCTTATTACATACTTCACAATCAACATAAGTATGTGGCAAAAGGAACCCTTTAACACATTACCTTGCCATCAAAATAGGTCAGTGGCCTCACAGACTTCAACCCATGTTGCGTGACTAGATAGAGGACAGAGACAAGCTGGTAATGCTGGTACACAAGGTCATAACAGGTCATCTTCTGCATCACTGTGAGCTCTACCAAGGCTGGCGACCCTTCCTGTCCACTCCAGAAACTATCTGCTGGAATGACCAATGGCTTCTCCACCTCACAAACTACATTAGCCTGTTGAGGACAAAGATAAAAATTACTGGATGTGTTCAATATCATAAATACATGGTAAGATGGGTCTAGACAAAATCTGTGATTGCCATTTTGAGAGAAACATTTGGTAGAAGAAAGTAATATCGCCTACACACACAAAGTTTAAACCAATTCCTGTGCACTTTTCTCTGCATTCCCATCCCACTGTAAATCATAATCATTTCAATATATAGAGTAAAACTTTCTGCACTCCTTCGACACACTTACTTCCATAATTTGTTCAAGGAGGGTGAGGACTGCCTGCAGCACTGGAGCAAGGTTGTGTTCCCCGAGGCCAAGGTCCCTTCGGCACAGTCTGTCTTTGGGTATCCTCCCGACTTTGTCCATCAGACTTGTCGTTAACTGGACAAACTGGCTCACCCATGTTTCCCAAAGCATCAGTGAAACACCTGAGAGGTTTTTTTTTTGAGGGAGGATTAGCAGAAGCAGACTAACAGAACATGGTAAAAAAGGATAATAATAAAATTAGTAAGCAATAATAATAACTCCCAAAATTATCAAAAGTAGCTCTAGTCTCCTCTAAATGGTAAATATTTTCATATATTACACAGCAATGCCTATAGCTTAAGAACGGTTACCACTCCACTTATCAATATAAAAGGTATTAAAAGAAAAGCTATCTACTTGCACATAAACTCTTCATCACCTAGTATTCACTAAAAATGATACCTTTAAAAAAGGACAACTACACCTGCATCCCAAAAGACATAAAAATTTTACCATGTCTAATATGTGAATTCCTTATACTTCCAACAAGCTTCACAGCCTGCGAGATCAAATTGGTGTCATCCCTCGCTTTGTTCCACGCTGCCACTAACTCCCAGCTCATGTTCGTTAGAACTGAATCTGCTGCCACGGAATTTGGGAATTTCTTGCTAACATTCTTTAAAAATTCTGAAAAAAGAGACTTTGTAATGTAACTGTAAATAGATTTATTAGTCTTTTCTGCAAATGGTGGATGGTGGTGGTTGGGGAGAAGGAGGAGGAATGGAGGGACGGGGAGGAGGAGGAGGTAGTAGTGGTGGAGGAGGTGGAACAGGTGGAAGAGGAGAAGGAGAAAGAAGTAGGTGAAGGATGAGGATGGATGTTTAATGCAGTAATGGCAGGATGGCAAAGGTACATGCAATATCCGCTGTGCTTTTCTGTTTCGTAAAATCAACTGTCTTGGTTCCATTAGTTGCAAGTGCTTAATCATTCAGAAATCTATTACTACTCCTATCTATCTCACATGTTTACCCTTTTCCATGATTTCTCACAGCTATTAATATTGACGACAACAATGATAACAACATCAATATCAATGTTATCAGATTTTTTTTTTTTTCGAAAACCCAGAGAAAGGGAAAATGAGATGAGGTCATGTAGGCGTACTAATAGGTTCCATGGGTGTCTATAGACTTCTGGAGCCACGAATGCGCAAACAAAATTCACAAAAAAAAGCAAACCGTGTGATCACTCTGCAACAATGGGTTAATTTCATTTATAAATAAGGAGTTCTACTAAGATCTGGTTGATCTGAAGCAAGAGCACACACAATGACTTTTACTCCCTCTTCAACCCTTGCATTCAACTTCCTTCCCAAATTTGCACTCCCTCCCACTCCTTTTCTATTTCTCTCTCTCTATCATTCTTTCCTTACTTCCTCCTTCTCTTTCACTCTCACTCTCATTCTCACTCCCACTCCCCCTCCTACTCTCACTCTCACCCTCACGCTTACCTCACCCTCACTCCCATTCTCCCTGTCTCTCTCTTACTTACCAGCTATTTTCCCATCAACTTGCTTCAGGTCATTTGGAACAGAATCAGAGGTGACCTCCATTTGATCCGTCTGCTCTGAATCATCGTCCATTTTCTCCAACTCCTCCTTCTCCAGTCTCCTGAGCTCGTCCTGCTTTCGCACAAGTTGCACCACACACTCATGATCCATGCCGGAGCCAATGAACCAGTTCGCAACAAGCTCGGCAACATATCCTGAAATGAAAATGAAGATGTTATAACCAGAACAGACTACCTGTCTACCTAAAACATATTTCATATCACAGCTTATTCTAATTAGAACCTATCTATCCTAAACTATGCATCTTAACCCAATAGAAAAGCAATTTTGCATCACACTTTTTTGTTCTCATTTTCCTACATCTTGTTTGTAATTCAATGGGAAAATCACATTTTTTATTAGTTTTGTTTAACTGACTATAATAATATTAAAGAAAAGGTTTTAAATTTCTATATGTATAGTACCCTTTCTTAGCCAAAGATTGTGACCCAATATTGTTTTCAAGAAATTTGATTGCAATGTTGATATATAATGCCTGCCTGTGCTTCATGAAATAAAAACAAATTATTAGACTACTTTCCTATCTTTCCATAACAAATCTTAAATTCATCACATGTATATTTGGACATTCAAGATACAGTTTAGTAATAGTACCAACAAAGGTTAAGAACCACAGACACAGAGTAAATTGATGAATACCTTTCCCTTTATCAAGAAGGTCCTTTACTGACACCTCAAGCTTGGGTTGTCTCTGAGGCCCGTTCTCTGGTACGAGTGACAAGAACTGATTCAGAGGAAGAAGACACTCTAACTGGCCAATCACCAGATTCCATTCGACCATCTCCATCGAAAGTCCTTCCCAGTCGTTCAGAGATAAGTATTTATGGTCTGTGTCATCCTCGGCATTGGTCTGGATAATGTCCTTTTTGAAGTGCAAGGCATTTTCTGTCACAGTGGAATGCAACCGAGCTTCCAGGTTGGCATGAACGCCTCGGCACAAGAGTGACGCAATGTAGGCTTGGTAAGGCTGGGTGGAGGCCACTAACTTATCCCTTACTGAGCTCCACCAAGGACTCAGCTGGCTAATATCGCATAGCACCTTTTCTCCTGGAAGAAAGACGTGTTTAAGATCTGGCAAAGCAATATGAGAACACCTTTAATACCATATTAAGGTGTGTGTAAATGTAGACTATTTTTCTATATGAAATTATCTCATAATATACATTTAATCCTATCACATAATAATTTAGTAGAACTCTTCTAAAATACTACAAAAGCAAAAAAATACATCCACAATGGAAGAGAATCATATAATCAAATAAAACCTCAAATGCAAACAGCTTCTACGAAACAAACAAAATTTTCCAACCAGAGACTACATGAATGGTATTTCCACCTGCTAATGTGGACAGACAGTAAAATATTGTGCCTAGATGAAGGGCTGACACTGTGTCAGGACTGCAGCAAAGGGACCAATGGTGTATGCTACATGCAGTAAGGACTCCAAGTTGCTTCCGCTTTCTTCGATGGCCTGACTGAACTTCTTCATACTTTCACTATGCCAAGCCCAGCCATAGAGGAATTCCCCTGAAACAGAGAGAAGATATTTCTAGAGTAGATTAGTTTAGCAACAAAGCAAACCCGCTTGATTCTTTTCAGGTACAGTATATGTATAATATAATCTTACAACAACTCTTGAAAATCTGAAAGAATATCTTTTTTTCTCTCTTCATTATTTATCATGAATTAAGCCAAGTATGCCAGACAGAAGACTATGTGCTAACTAAAGAAAAGTAATAATAAAACAAGTTAGGTAAGATGACACCACTGTATACAAAGCAATAATGCATAACAGCATTTCCGGTATATGTTGGGCATATACAGTTTTCCTAATGTACAATAAATTTCACAGGCTCAGAATGAAAGTACTGATACCCAAGTACATGAACATAAAAAGCCATTAATTGTTCAAGCATCAATTACAATTCTTTACATCCCTCAAATAAAAGGTTCAATCTATTCAGTAAGTCTTAAAAATCTCTTCAAATAAGTCTTTAAAGTGACACATTCATAAAGTAAAATGAGTACCACTTGTACACTGCTTTTAGCAAAAGTTTCATCTCCACTTAGAGGCTCAAGGTGTCTGTCATGCACATTTCAGGTCACAATATATAACTGACATTTGTCTCTTAGTATCTCTCAGGATATTTCTCTTTAACTCTTAAAGAAACAAAGATATCACATATTTCACTTTTCAACATTTTTCAAAATCAAAATTTCATGAATTCAAATCAATCATAATATTTCCAGAAACAGACACTTACCCAGTCTCAAACGCTTCTCTTGTTGAATGTCTTCTTTCATGTTAACAGGGAGCGTTTTGTTGGCCAAATCCTTCACTAAAGATCCTACAGTTACATCCCAGCAGCGAATAAAAGAGCCTATGCTAAAGTTCACTGATGAATCGGAAAATCTGACCTGCAGGGTGGGAAAAAAGTACACTACATATCTGTTACGTTAATACCCTTACATACTAAGATATCATATATCTAAAACATGACAAAAAGCAATTTCATGCAAAAACAGCTATGAACATGCATAATGTCAAACTGTCCTCAGCAAACAAAACCTTGTTAATCAGAAATATTCTATAAGTAAAATAAAACGGTTAATAAACTTTCATTCTAAAACAATGGCAATTCAACAACTAATACTTATCTAATCTTTTACTTATAATTTCTGTAGGAATGAACTATACTTATTACTGTCTCTAAAAGCCATAATCTTAACAAGATAATAAAACATGTAGAACTCTTTTGCAGAAACTATTTTCTTTGTGTTGATGATCTTAATACATTATTCTCTATTTCTAAACTGGAGATAGACTTACCTTCTTCGAATTCGTAGTCTTGGAGTTCGCATAATGTTCAAGGTTGACAGGAACGCTTTGGTTTCCGCTGGCGTCAGAACCAGAAGTCTTGCTAGTTGCTGTAAATTGAAAAAATAAGTGCACATCATTTTCAGGCCATCATAGTTGATACTTTCATTGTTAAAGTTGTTGTAAATGTTCTGTATGGCTCCTCTGTATAAAAGGCCCACACCATGCATGTAGGCAAATACTTTCACAGAACCATTCCATGACAGTTGGAGGATGTGATATTGTACTGTCATTTTTTGGAAGTCCATGCTGTACACTCCAAGAGGATGTGCATGTATGTATCATCTCCAAGTAGAATAAATTATTTGATAAAGGAGAGACTAAGCATTTCCAGATATATCAGCCATATGTAAAACAATTAGAGGAAGACCATAAAAATGAAAGAAAGAAAATGGCTATTTCAAGTAAAAAGTCCAAATGACTTAGGCTTTTATCTCAAAACACTAAGTAGGCAATTATGCAATATACTAAGGGCAGTACCAACTCTTGCAAACCAACATCTGAGTTTGGATAAAAAAAAATCTATGATCTTTTATTCTCTCTAACAATGAGGAAAACTATGGCAGAGCATCATGACAGTCAAAGACATGAGGAAATATTAAATATAAATCCTTAGAGCTACTCATAAACATAAGCTTAGATAAAAAGAAACAAATACCTTTGAATATGAATCGAGACCTGTATTTTTTCCCATGTCACTTGTGTACTTGTAAGCAAGTGTGTGCATACAAACAGGTATGTTCACAGGTATATATTCATATACAGAAAAAGCAACAAAACTACTTACCAACACTAATGTTTCATCATCTGGGTCCGGCGAAGCTTCCCGGCTTGTGTGTAGTTCTACCAACACCATGTAGAGCTGCAACAACTGCTTCAAGCGTAGAAGCTGCTGGCCGAGAAGACGGCTCTCATGATCTTGGCTCTGAACACCATCTTCTGAAGTTGGTGGTAAATGTGAATTAAACTAATGTACTTTGAACTTAATGTAAATATGAAATGTAATCTGATTCAATGCAAAAGAGAATTTATTATTGTTAATATTGTGGACAATCATAAATATATCTTTATCAAATGTAAAAACTGTTTCAATAAATTTTATTAAATGAGGTAGCTTTGGGATCATGTACTGATATCCACAATGGTGTATAATAGAACTGTTTATTTTAATTTCAAATTCTCCACTTTTCAATTGCCTTTTAAGCAGCATTCACATTTCTTACTTTTGAATTTGTTCACTTACAATTATCCATTTAATGATGCAATCAATGAAGCAACAAAGGAAATGATAGAGAAAAATGTTCATCCCATTCATTTTCACATAAATGCTACAAACAGAAAATTATCACTCATTTCTTTTCTTTTCTTAATGAGACATCTAAATACATAACCTCACCCTCTCACCTTTCTCCTCTTCCGCATCAGGACAGTAAACAGGTAGAAAGATGTCCAGCAAACCCTGCAGCAGCGACGAGGTGAGATGCTGCGACAGGATCAGGGCCTGGACTGCCTGTTTCCGGACGCCCGATGTCTTTATCTCGGAGACGGTCTTCAGTACCTCTTCCTCGTTGTTGTTTCTCAGGTGAGACTTGAGGGTCTTCAGAAGGTGCAGATCTCGGGCTCTCTTGCTTGTCTTCCCACTAAATAAAGAAATAAGAGAAAACGGTAAATATTAGTCTACATTGCAATCCCAAGAATCAAGAATAAAAAAAAAAGTAATAATGATAACAATAATAATATGAAGAATATAATGAAAAACATGAAAAATCTAAAACAAAAACAAATCAAATGAAAAATTAAGAAAAATCAATAAAAAAAAAGTTAAAAAAATATATAACATAATATCATTAAAAAAAATCATGAGCAAAACTTACCCAAGAGCCATATGGAAGGGAACAATAACTTCGCTGATTTGCCCATCAGGAGTCACAAACAGAACTGGGAAGACCTTACATCGGACACCTCGCACACTATTCACACCAAGCAGGGTGTGTGGAGTGTATAATAACCTGTAATGGAAATCACTCTTTCAATCTATATCTAAGATGAGATAAATGAAAGGAAGACATATATTCTATTCCTAACAATTTCAAAACACACACAGACATAGACACACACACACACAAAAAATTAAGTGGTTGTGAAATTTACCGTGCATGCTTTGGCACATTGAATGCAGCAACTCTTGGCCCTTGCTGTGGGGTCCACACCTCCAACAACCCTCGCCTTGGTGCGTATATAAGCAAGAATGCGACCTGCCTCTTCATTCCCCCCCATTCACCCTCGACTTCCAGCCACCCACAATCTGCATCTCTGTAACCTGGAAAATATTTAAAATATTATAAGATTATTTAGCAGAAATAGAGTGTCTATCCATCATTTAATACTTTCTATGTCTGAAATTTCATTTTATATGGGATGAAAATAATACAGGACAGCATACTCTAACTTCCTTCCCGGCTGAGTATCCTAACACTGCAAATTCTGCCCACAGTTTCACAAACATCACCTAAACAAAAACTAAATGGTATTCCCCTCAGTGACAACTCTTCACTTAAGAATGGATGAAATTACACATTGGGCAACATGCAAAGCGTGAATGGGAATGATGTAAGGTGAACTGATTTCTGTCTAAATTGAGGCCTAAGTTCAAGATATTGCTTCAAGATTTTTGCTCATTAAAAAAATGTTTACTGAACATGCCTGTACACATCAAGGTGTACCTTCTTGCTTCAAAAGAGTGAGTCTTCAACAGCAAATTGTAAAGTTACTCCTACTGCCTTGTTGCTAAACAAACTGCTTTACTAGGCTGACTTCTAATCATGGAATGTAACCATTAGTTCATAGCATTAGATCAGCTGTCATTTTGAATTCAAACCTACTACTTAAAAAAACATGTGTGTTCATTCCTGTGCTTGTGTTGCGAGGAGAAGGAGGTCGCTAAAGATATAACCTAGGAACCAACAGCATTCCTTCACATACAATTTTGGGCTCCACTAAATGATGACAAATACTGTTTATCTACATGAAATATATCTATGAGAGAAAACACATACACTTCAGTAAAGACTAAAACACTTCAATATTACCCATATGAAATATAAAGAATCTTTCAATATACATATATGTTACATTACCTTTCCACATCCGCAAGGCAACTCCTCTCTGGACATCAATCAGTGTTACACGTCCGAAGTCGTCTGTAACTGCTGCTAGTCTGCGTCCAGGGGCCAGACTCAAGGACAGGCCTGTTCTTCTTTTGTCAGGAACAGACCATCTAAAATCAAACAAATGATATCAGGAGTTAAAAAACATTCTTTACTTATCACTTCAAATACCATATTTATATATAACATGCTGCTACCACTTACTTGTATGGCAATGGTGTTGCAGGTTCAATCTTTGGTTTCTCTTTTGATTTCTCTGCTTCCCTATTCTTTCCTCTTCCAAATAGCCAACCACTGAAATAAATAAGGAATACCTTCAACAACATGAAAAGATATCAGAATATATCCATTGCGTATACAAAAGTATATAACTATAACGCACTCAGCGAGGGCTAGAAAGCCTTTTGGAAAAGCCCATAGCCATACCACATGAAGCTCTGTAAACTATATTTTCTTACTAAGGTATCTGGATTTTTTGAATCCTTGAAATCAGATTAATGCAAAAATAAGAATAAATCACTTATAGCATTTACTAATAAAATCTCATTTCATGCAAGATTGTATCCATTTAAATTTTGTTTTTATGACTTACTGTCCATGGTCTACCTTAAGTATAAAGTGTAAAAAAATGAGTATGAAACCTCTCTAGAAAAACACTGCTTGCCTTGAATGTTTATCATCCTAGTCAGATCTGTATGACTTGAAACTCGACTTGAAACATCGAGATCTACAATTCCCTTCTTAATGCAGCTCTTTCATATCTGGTTTAAGAGTTTTAAGGCATACATGCGTAAAATAAGAAGAACAACAACAATGGGGATGAACTTTGGCTATGTAGCTGCTTCTTTTAAATAACATTTATCATTCTCACTGTACTCTTCTCTAAAAACATCAAGATTTGACAAGATAGAAAGAAAGGAAGAAAAGATTCAAGACTATTACAAACCATGTAGCCTAGAATCACACACCTGGCAGCTGAAACAAGTGCATCCTTCAATTTGCTTGCATAAAGGAGGGCAACATCTGCAACAAATGGCGGGGCTGACCCTTCTTGTGCATACAGAAAACCAATAAAAGGAATACGCCCAACAGTGAGGAGCAGTGAAGATGCTGGTACACCTGTTGTTAAGAGGATGCATTAGGTGATAATTCTTCCTTTGTAAACTGAGTCTGCAGTAAGTGAGAATATTTGTCTTTAATCTACTTAAAGTACTTGATGTAGCCTAGTAAGAGGTGAAATCCTTATGGAGGATAGCACATTTTGGAAAGCATTTGACTCCCTTATTATAAAGTAAAATATGTGTAAGAACTTTATAATTCAATGAATAAAAGAAAATCAATAAATAGATAAAAATAACAAATAACTGAGGAAACAAATTGTGGAACAGTGCAAAAAACTACGTGACACAATACTACATAATTTGTAAGTACTTTCTCTTTCTCACATAAAAACAAAAAAATATAGTTCAAAGTACAAATTATTGTCCACTTTGAAACTAAAATAGAATCATGAAGGGTGACTTTGAACGGAAAAAATCTAATCAAAACAGCAAAGCAAAATAAAAGTAAGTTCTTTAATCATCTTACCGGAAGACACCATATGATTGAAGCCCTTGGCGAGTGAAGTCTGCGCCAGGTGATCATAAAGATACGGTGGAGTGACGCCTGGTCCAGCGCAATCCATTACCATTCCCTGATCCACCAGACCCCATTTCTTATATCCTAATGGCGGGACACTCACATTCTCTCCCCCACTCGCTGCAGCTGTTTTGGTAAATATTTAAGCTATTAGAAAATTGCATCCTTCTGTGTATGAAATAGAATTTGTAGCTTTATTTATTAATAATAGTTATTTAAGAACCACCTACATAATGGCTTTTTTTAAAGACACCAATTATAGTTTGAAAAGTACTAAAAAAAAGTTCTAGGTTCTAGTTTAACCATGTCTCACTTCCATGACATAGAAAACAAGCTTTTAGCTATTTTCTACTGTCTGACAGATAAGCAATTATATATAAAGAAACCAAACAATGCTGTGATACCTTTGGC